TCAGATGTTGACCTGTATGCTGAGTGTATCTAATCTACAACATCCTGCCTAAAATGTCTCAGTACAGGGTGTGAGAAGGTGCTGTGGTGATTCAGATGAGAAGCCCCTTTGCGGGAGTGGGGTGTGCCCAATTCAAGCTTCCCAGAGAAGGATGTCTGCAGACCTCAGGACAAGTAGACTTCATGTTAGCAAGGAGGTAGGGGCAGGCCACAGGACTGCTGGTACAAAGGCCGGAGATGGCAAGTGTGGCTGTGCTCCCAGCCAGTAAGTTATATTGACAGTTGATGTGACAGAAGAGCTGCCGAGGCAGATCCTAAAGCGTTCCCTGTGCTATGGATGTCACAGCTTAGATGTCATCTGGTCACCGACCAGTGGCAAGGCTCTGAAGGGGCTTACAGAGCTCAGTCTTGTGGTTAAATCTGAGTTTTAGAAAGGTCAGTCTGACTGCAGGAGTGGGAGATGGGTTGGCCAGGCGCTCATCTAGTCTGGGTGAGAAGTGACAATGACGTGAAGGAGTGAAGAGAGATGAAGCGGGGGTGATTCACAGGATTTAATATTGGGAAGTGGAGGAAAAGAAGACTTTCAGGTTTCTGGCATGAGTGAATGAAGTACAGTCAGGCATAAATACAAAGAGAAATGGCAACCGCAGGTTTTAAGGGAAAAGGTAGCAGAGTGGGTTAGAAATGGCCTTTGAGCATGCAGGGTAATTATCTATCAACTCTACATATCTATTTAGTTTACATAAAGGCTTTGAGTTAAGCAGTCTTATCCCAGTCTTTGAGATGCTCGAGGCACTATAACGAGGAGTCAGTGGCTGAGACAGCATTGCTGCTCACCACCTACTATTCCCAGGTTCAGAGCACATTAAATTTGAGTTTCCAAATGAAAAAGTACAGAAAGAAGGTGACTGTATAGATTTTGGGCTCACAAAGTAATTTTTGTTAGTGAGAGTCTGGACTATACTTTTGTGAAGCAAATCTTGACTCTTTGGTTGAACACTTTGAATTTAAAAAAAAAAAATCTTGCTCTTATTCCTGCCTTGTTTAGGGCAAGCCTTTACTGGATTTCTACCGCTGTGAACTTTCTTTTTATCTAGTACTTTGCCTTGCTCTATATGGGTGCTTTCATTCCGACTGCATTCCAGTCAGTATACGCCTGGATATACTCACTTGTGAAACTTGAATTTTAAGTATATAAGATTATAGCCATTGGGTGGCTTTTTTTTTTTTTTTTAAAGAGCAGTACGAGAAACAGATCTCTGATTCTGAATGGAAAGACAATGCAGTTTTTTTAAACCCTTTCCTGTATGCCTCTATAAAAGCAAACAGCGGTAGGTCTCTGCTGAATGCTAACTCCAGTTTGTCCAGATCAGTCAGGTTCCGCGTTTGGCTGTAAGGAATTAGGAGCTGTTTGTTTCTTCTCGGTGACTCAGTCACTCTTTCACTTGCTGTTCTCTTCTCTTCTTGCCTCTGATAGGTGGTGTTGTATGTTCACAGAAAACAGCCCAGGGACAGCTGCTGGAGGCCACTCACCAGACGTCATGAAGGCTGCCAGTGTGGAAGAATTCTGACATGCCAGCATCTTCAGTCTACATTGTGTTCCTTTCTATTGCAATCTCAGGAAAATGGTATTAAGAGAACATATTTGGTGAAATAAGAAGGTCGTTTTCCACTTTTAGTGACCAACATGTAATAAGATGGACATCGTGTTCTACAAAATACCAAGTTCTATGGTCTCGAAGAAGCAAGCACCTATTTAAAACTGATCGTAAATAAAACCAGAACTGAGTGGATATGAGAATGTTTGTTAGTGGCAGAAGAGTCAAAAAATGGCAATTTATTCATCTGTGTGCCACTTGTTTTATACTAAGCCTCATGTTTTTTTGGGAACCGATTGATAATCACATTGTCAGCCACGTGAAGTCCTACTCTTACAGATACCTCATAAACAGCTACAACTTTGTGAATGATACCTTGTCTCTTAAGAACAGCTCAGCTGGGGCCCGCTACCCATACTTGATTAACCACGAGGAGAAGTGCCAAGCACAGGACATCCTCCTTTTACTGTTTGTAAAGACCTCTCCTGAGAACCATGCTCGACGTTCTGCAATCAGAGGAACATGGGGCAATGAGAAGTATGTCCGATCGCAACTCCATGCCAACATCAAAACACTCTTTGCCTTAGGAACTCCTAATCCGCGGCAGGGACAAGCACTGCAAAGAAAATTGGTTCTGGAAGATCATAAGTACCATGATATAATACAGCAAGACTTTGTGGATTCTTTCTACAATCTTACTCTTAAATTACTTATGCAGTTCAATTGGGCGAATACCTTTTGTCCACATGCCAAATTCCTTATGACTGCTGATGATGACATATTTATTCACATGCCAAATCTTATTGAATACCTCCAAAGTTTAGCACAGATTGGCGTTCAAGACTTTTGGATCGGTCGTGTTCATCGTGGCGCCCCTCCCATTAGAGATAAAAACAGCAAGTACTACGTCTCCTATGACATGTACCAGTGGCCAGCTTACCCTGACTACACTGCTGGGGCTGCCTACGTCATCTCTGGTGATGTAGCTGCCAAAATGTATGTGGCCTCACAGACACTTAATTCCAGCCTTTATATAGACGATGTGTTCATGGGCCTCTGTGCCAATAAAATGGGGATAGTACCACAATACCACGGGTTTTTCTCTGGGGAAGGTAAAACTCCTTATCATCCCTGTATCTATGAGAAAATGATGACATCTCATGGACATGTACAAGATCTCTACTCCCTTTGGAAGAATGCCATAGATCCAAAAGTAAAAAACATTTCACAAGGTTTTTTTGGTCGGATATACTGCAGGTTAATTAAGATAGTTCTCCTTTGCAAACTTGTCTATGTGGACACATATCCTTGTTGGGCCGCGTTTGTCTAACAGTACTTGAATGTTGTATGTTTTCCCTGTCACTGAGCCAAACCTGCATGGAAAACTTTCAGATGTTTGTCTACCTTACATAAAATGAATATGAAAGTCAAAAGAAATATTTTGAAAGCCCAGCCTATCTGAATGTTTCTTTGATTCTAGAAGCTCTTATATAACTTATCTACTCCGTTGCCTAAATTCATGTCAAGGAATTCATATTCAGAAAAGTGTACATTATCAATGAAAACAAAACTGAAGGGAAATTCAAGTTATCATTTCACAGCTCGTGTATTTGAGGTGGTGAGAGGTTAAGAAGCCTCACTGTTAGATAACTGCTTTTGGAAAGTACCATTTTCAAAGAAATAAATATATTGTTAGACCAGGTATACGAGTTAATTTTTGTTAAGGAGCATTTGGTGGAGGTGGTAGGAAGAGGGAAAGGTGAGCGTAAGAGAGAGTATGTGAATCTGGTGAAAGTCTCTTACGGGGAGATACAGGAAAATGTACAACATTCATTATAAATCCGCCAAATCACGTTTTGTAAATCCATGTATCTATTTTTACCTTCATGGTGTTGGAGTCATTTAAAATACATTTTTTTTTTCAAAGTTGAATATGGACCTTGAGAAAGGTTATTAGCTCTGTTCTAACTGGTACTTTATCATACATATATGTATATAAATATTAGAAAATGACACAAACACATGGATAGTTTGTTGCTCATAGGGTCGTTCTTTAGGGAGAAATTGTTAATTTAAATAAGCTGATTTTAATTTAATAAATTTTTCAACTGGTTTTTAGATATTCAATATTGGTCTGAACTTAAGGCAGTTATTTGAATGTACTTTACATGCAGGAATGTAACAATGGGAACTTCAAAAGGAAATAGAGAACATTAGAAGTCTCTTTTCTCCATAATAAAGTTTTAGTGTCTACATCAGTGTACTAATTACTAAAATTAGCTTACCCCTCTCCAACAAGGTCTCTTAAACTCTATAGTACTTTGTTCCAAGTTCAGAGTTTTAAATTGGGAGTATTAAACCTCAAGGCTATAATATCAAAGACAATCTATTTTTATCAAATAACTCTCAGTAGTGATCTTTATTGTTTACCTACTGCAGACTTGAAGGCACAGTAACAGTGATGGAAAAGTTGCCAGAACGAGGTGAAAACATTTGTAAAGCTACATGTTTCTTGTAATCATAAGGATGTGGCTCAGATCTAATAAAGTTAAGTGATGCTTGATTTACAAAGCAGGATAAAATGCGGCTGTGATGCAAACTACCTCCCCTGACTACAGAAAGAATTAGGTGGTATCTATTGCTAGGAAGATAATATGAAGGCCCAAATAATGACTTCAGAAAAGTAGCTGGACTGATTGTAAAACCCTGACCGCACAGGTACCTGTTAAGGATAATAAGATATCTCATTTAATAAGATGACGTCTGAAACATCCAAACCGAGACTAAGGAAGGTTTCTCAGTATACCAACTGGATTATGATATTGACAATTTTTTTAGCAGGTAGCTTTTTGAAAATGTTTACAGAAATTTTTAGGTTTTTTTCTATTTTGAAATTTGAGGCTTGTTTACATTGCTTAGATAATTTAGTATCTTTAATGTCAGAACTACAGTATCTCATATTCTAGGCTGTAGTTACTTTTAGAGTAGGGTCAAGATTTTAGAGCATGACAGTTTAACTTTTCTAACCAATAAAAAAACTGTGAGAACAAAAGCACATTTTGACAAAACAGGCTTACGATTAATTTTTATTAGTTTATTCTTTAATAACCTTTTTGGCCTTTTGACCATACATACTCTTGTGTATCTATCGTTGGAACTGTTTAAATTTGCCATTGGTTGAAAACATCAGTGCCACTAGCTATGAAAGTGATCTTGTTTACACCAGTTCTTTTGTGAAATAGCTATTTATTTGCTGAATGAGCGCTCCTGAACTGCATTTTCTTTTCATTTTTGCTATAACAGAATGGAACAGGTTTAAATTTTGGGAAATATGAAGGTACTTCCTTTTTTTATAAGAAGGAAGTTGCTAGATGATTGCATTGTCAGACTTAAAAGAATAGTATTTGTAAATAAAAGGGTTCCAACCTTTTGAAAAAGAAGGAAAAACTTTCTGGTGCTCTAATGCAGGGCTATCTTTTCTAAAAATGTCAACAAAGGGAAAATAATCACAATGGACGGTCATTTGAGTAGAAGATGATTATACACAGTATTATTATTAATTTTTTTTTTACCTTTCAGTTGGTTTGCATCTTTTTTCCATAATTTTATACCAAGATGTTAAACATTTGTACTATTTGAATTTTGCTCTTACATGGAAAAATAATTGGTGGGTTTAAAAAAATCGATGATTTCCAATAAACAAAAATTGTCAGTAAATGTGTAAAGTCTTGCGTGAACACTGTTCATGTAATCAACTGATTGGGTTTAATGAGCTACACGGTGTTAGTCCTCAGCCTGTTGGGGCTTGCCACTCTTTCATTATATGTTTTTATTGTACCTTTTGTATATTTAGATCTGTTTTCAAATACTCACCATTGTGTTAGAATTGCCTTTAGTATTCAGTGCAGTAACATGCCATATGGGTTTATTTAGGAGCAACAGGCTATACTATATATAGCCTAGGTGTGTAATAGGCTGTACCATCCAGGCTTGTGTAAGTACTCTGTGATTTCCACACAATGACAAAATTGCCTAACAACACATTTCGTAGAATGTATTCCTGGTACTAAGCAACACATGACTATGATTTGTTCAAAAAGGAACGAAATAACCTGTAGTCCCAGTGCCTTAGGATACCATTTGAAAAGGTTATATTCTCCTTTTATCTGATCTTGTTAGCTATTACAAGATCAAGCAAAGTTTGATCAAGCAAATAAATTTAGCCCTACTCTCTTGATGTCAGGAGTGCCCATATGCCTCCTTGGAGTGTTTGGTGCTTTGGTATATTTGCATATACCATGTTCTCATCTGCTTTTCACCTGATTGCTGCTCAATTCTTGGCAGAGCATATAGCATGAGTTAGCCTCTATATTTTTTTAAATTTGGAAGCATCTGAATTATTTAGTTGTAGTAGAACTCGTCACTTGCTGCAAGGCTGCGTTTGTCTATACAACTTGAATGTTGTATAGTTGGTGTGTTTGTAGTTGGGACCAAAATGATGATTACTTGCAAGGATTAATTAACTTGACCTGTCTTTATTTGCAGGTTTTTTTTTTTTTTTTGGGGTTGGTTTGAACCCACCACCTCTGGTATATGGGGCCGGTGCCCTATTCCTTTGAGCCACAGGCACTGCCCTACTTGACCTATCTTTGAGGAGTTTAATAAGAGGAAGATTAGATGTCTCCCTGACTCAGTTTTCTTTCCTATCACTTCTGCATTCTGCAGTGAGATGATCTGTAGTCACAGCTTTCATTACAATACTCCTTTGCTCCAGACCTCAAATGCCCCTTACTGCCTCCAGCATCACATCTCAGTTCTATTTGTGGTCTCCCTGGTCCTTAAGTGCAATCTTTTGACTGAATCCAAATTTTACATAATAAATCTTTTATTAAAAGGTGTGCAGCAGGGGAGGATGAAGCTGTCTTGACTTTTTGTGCTTAATAAAAGGACAACCTGATCTTGAACCTGTGTCTTGAAGGCCACAGATTCCCCTCCCCTGACTCCTTCATTTCAATAGCTTGATCTTTCCCTCCTTCTGCTACTATTAACTGTCACAAATTTCAATCATGACTGTACCCTGCCTAAGTTGGTTTTCCTTGCCAGGAACATGGTTTCTCCTGTACCTGTTGAAATCTTAGAAATCGGACCCTACCTTCGTTCCTTCCTTCAGCATCTTCCTCCTCCTCCCCAAATCATACTTCATCCCATATATTACTAACTAGCTACTAGAGGTTCCACATGGTTTTTATTTTAATTCTGAAGGGAAGGACTGGCACATTCCTATCACATGGCACTCAAAATCATTTTTTCCCAAATATAATACGATAATGTCATTCTGGCAAGCCATTCAAATATGAAAAGAATTGAATTATTCAGAACTGTTAAGGGACACTATCTGGCATAACATTTTGCCTGTACTGGTTAAAGGTTTATAATTTGGTCATGAAAATCTGAATGCTTCCTATATGCCACGCACATTACACCCAATAACTCTAGCCCCAACAAACCTGTACTAGTTATGCAGCAAAACTCAAATCTGTGAAATCAAGAGGAAATAAGAAAGGTAGAGATTAAACTGATCAGAAGTTGGTCATCTTAAGATCTATCATAGCTGGTGGTAGAACAAAAATGATGGTTGTAGAGATTCTATCTCATGATTAATTCAGTGGCTCATTTTTACCTTAAAATTCTTTCACAAGAACGTAGAGATATTTTTTGTTTCATTAATCAAGAGCTGTAACTTTTCCCCTTTGCATTTCTCATAAGAAGTATGATTTGATGGTCAACTGTAAATTAATACAAGAATTCATCTATTAACGTAAAGGACACATTTACCTGAGTCCTTTCTGAAAGTATGTATGGGTTTTAGTAATAGTAAAAGTCCTAAAAATAAACTCTCAGTTAAAGATAACAACAGGATACATCATTGCCAAGTGATGCTTTTCAGATACCCAACTAAGCTTCCTCACACTCTGACATGCTGAATTGGGCCATTCGTTATAACTCAAGTACACATTTCAATCAGTAAGAGCTCACATATGTTTCCTTGAATACATCTTAAAGTGGATGAATACAAAGTAGTCCAAGCAATCAAATAACTGTCTTTACTCAGGTGCAAGTTCCCAAAGTTTGTTCAGTCATTCTACAGGCTATTTTTTTGGAAGCCCACTAAGAGTGAAGTGCCACCATAGACCCCAGGATTAAGGCAGCTTACCAGTCAAATTGTATGGTTATAAATAATGTGACTAGCACCAGAGTAAATAATGATGGAGATTCTTTTAAAAAAAAAAATACTTTCCCGATGTTTTTGGTCTTTACCACCTTAATTTACGTTTTCTGAACCATAGAGTATTCATATGCATGCAAATAGCAAAGATAGCACTAAATTTGTATGAACTATTTTTGGGGAGCCAAGAGCCTTTAAATGTGTTTAAGACAATAATTTATTCAATATGAAAACTGATTTGCATTTACTATTCTCTTGATAGTCCATTTTTTAAAACACTGAATCCTTAGAAAATTGGTTTAGGTGAATTTTCAGCTCTCTCATTTGTTTGCTTTTGTGAGATTCATGAGTTTTGTTCTCAGGTACATAAATGGAGCATATAGAATAAATACAGTGATTTTTATCTGGGAAAAATAGGTGCCGAGGCCGAAACCAGAAGATCTCTCCCAGCCCCTGGGGGTCTGCAGTCTTACCTGCTGGGGAAAAGGTCTCCACGGCTGGCCCGTGGCTCCAGCTCAGAGCTCTCCCTGTTGTGACTACTTTCAAGGACTTCTTCATTCTGAAGTGAAAGAAATTTTGGTAAGATTTGGTATTTGTGGGACTCCTTATCCATATTTTCCTTTCCCTCAGTTTCTGCATTTGATTTTGGGTTTGATTTTCTGCATGAGCAATAAATCCCCCTTTACCATCCTGCGCTCGCTCTCTTGGGTTTTCCCAGCCCCTCTGGGATCTGTTGTAGTTCACCCTTTAGGTTTCCTTTAAGCATGTCAAAAACTCAGTCTCAAACACAGGTATCTTGCTCCTTAATGACCAAGGGCTGTTTACATTGTACTCATCTTCTCCCCCACCGAATCATAAAAACATTCAGAGTTTGAGTCATGAGGGACAATAAGGTGATCACTGGATTCACCATCTCTCTTTCTCTCTTTTTTGGTGAGAAATAAAGGTCTAGAAAAGCGTGGCTTGCTAAGACAGGCAAATGCTGGAGGAAGAGATGAGGCAGGCCCAGGGTGGGCTTCGCAGACAGGTTGTAACAAGTCCCACCAATCCCACTGAACTGGCTCCTCATCACACATGCACTGGGAAGTGTAGAGGATGCATCTTGGGTAGGGGGGAGCCACTCCCCGCCCCTGCAGCTGTGAGAGACCTTGGGGAAGCTCAGTGAACCTCTCTGTGTCTTGATTTCCTCACCTAGAATATGGACCCCATGGCGCTACCTACCCTGTAAGTCTGTGTTAAAGATTAAATGTTTTGTGTAGTGCCCAGCAGGCAGGAAGCACTCAAACGCTGGCTAATCGGCTGTTAGTTAAATTTATGACACTTATTGCTATCAATATATTATACAAATTCACTTCATTGTTAAAACTGAATTTTCTTGAGAGTAAACTGAGTAGGAGTCTTACTCTTTTTTCGAGAATTAAATGCTTAGTGTTATTCTAAAAAAGAGCCATGCCTATTTCATTTCTGAGAAGACACTATTAGGATAGATTCATATTCCCTAACATCCACTCAGTGCCTAGAATGTGGCAATGTGCCAGGTGTTTTAAAATTAATAAAGGGGTGAAATTTTGAAGTCCATCTTCATAAGTGAAGATCTAAGTCTTTGTTGTATTTGCCTTATTTGGGTTTCTCATTGAATTACCTTTTTTAATTTCAAAGTTTTCTCTACATTTGTCACTGGGACCGTTGGAACAGTATAGTAGACTGTAGTAGTTTCAGCATGCTACACGTTCCGTAAAGGGCTAATAACCAGAAACTCAAACAAATGGGCAAGAAAACATCAAACAACCCCATTAAAAATGGGGCAAAAGACCTTAACAGAAGGTTTTTCAGTTAGATAGACTAATGGTCAATAAGCATATGACAAAAAGCTCAATATCTCTAATCCTCGATCAAAACTGCAATGAGATATCACCTAAGTCCAGCGAGAATGGCTTTTATCCAAACGTTACAAAACAATAGATGCTAGTGTGGATGTGGAGCTACGGGGAACACTTATACCAGTTCTCAACCTTCCTAATGCCGCGAGCCTTTAATACAGTTCCTGTGGGTCGCGACCCACAGGTTGAGAACCACTGACTTACACACTGTTGGTGGGACTGCAAACCAGTACAACCTCTACGGAGACACCTCAAAGAACTAAAAGTAGACCTGCCATTTAATCCGGTAATTCCACTATTAGATATTCACCCCAAGGAAGAAAGACATCGTATAAAAAAGACACTTGCATTTGAACCTTTATAGCAGCATAATTCACAATTGTAAAGATGTGGAAACAGCCCAAGTGCCCACCAATACGTAAGTGGATTGATAAAATGTGGTAGAGATACTCTATGGAGTACAACTCCGTCGTAGAAAATGGTGAACTAACATCTTTTGGAACAACCTGTAGGGAACTGAAGACCATTCTTCTAAGTAAAGAATCATAAGAAGGGAAAATCAAACACTAAATGTCTTCACTACGGAACTGATTGCTCCACACTTGAGCACACAATATGCTGGTAAAACTCAGCAGAAACGGCTCGGCGCCTGTGGCTCAACCGGCTAAGGCGCCAGCCACGTACACCTGAGGTGGCGGGTTCGAATCCCCAGCCCGGACCCGCCAAACAACAATGACGGCTGCAACCAAAAAATAGCCGGGCGTTGTGGCGGGCGGCTGTGGTCCCAGCTACTTGGGAGGCAGAGGCAGGAGACTCGCTTGAGCCCAGGAGTTGGAGGTTGCTGTGAGCGCGATGCCAGGGCACTCTACCCAGGGGGATAGCTTGAGGCTCCGTCTCAAAAAAAAAAAAAAAAAAAAACTCAGCAGAAACCAAGCAGCTGAGAGCAGGAGGGACAGGTAAGGGCACACCTAACAGGTACAGTGCATGTTATCGTGGTGATAGGAACACTAGTAACTTTGACTCAAATTGCACAAAAGCAATTCGTGTAGCCAGAACAACTGCTTGTACCCTTGTGATTTTCTTGAAACTTAAAAAAAATTAAAAGAAATGAAAGTGAATTTGATAAAAACTTGTCAACATTGTGTGTGTGTGTTGTGGTACAAAGACCTACCTCTAAAATTAAGAACCAAAGAACAATCCCTACAAAGATAATCCTTTTTATTCTCACAATGTTTTTATTGTATAGTAAAATATCTAAGATTTAGACACTTAAGACTTAGAAGCAGTATCTGTGGCTCAAAGGAGTAGGGCAGCAGCCTCGTAGGCCAGAGGTGGCGGGTTCAAACCCAGCCCTGGCCAAAAACTGCTTAAAAACAAAAAGACTTAGAAGCTCTGGCGGTGCCTTTGGCTCAGTGGGTAGGGCGCCGGCCCCATATACCTAGGGTGGCAGGTTCAAAACTGGCCTCAGCCAAATTGCAACAAAAAATAGCTGGGTGTTTTAGCGGGTGACTGTAGTCCCAGCTACTTGGGAGGCTGAGGCAAGAGAATCACCTAAGCCCAAGAGCTGGAGGGTGCTGTGAGCTGTGATGTCACAGCACTCTACTGAGGGGGACAAAGTAAGACTCTGTCTCTAAAAAAAAGACTTAGAAGCTCAATTTCTATGGAGTAATTCTTTATTTTCCACTTATTTATGACAAATTTTAGTCCCTGAGGGTCAGAGTAAATAATTGTTCCTGGATCAAAATGCAAATTTGTCACAGAGATAGATGGTAAACTGACCTCTGTTCTGAAAAAGCACTTCCATTTCATTTTTAAAAAATCTTTTGTTTGTAATTAGGTTTATTGAGGAATAAGTTACCAAAAAAATTAATCTTTTGATGCATACAGTTTATTACATTTTGATGAATTCATACAGCTGTGAAACTAATACAATGAAGATACAGACCATTTTCACCAGCCCCATATTCCCTTAGCACTCACTCCCTCTCTCCACCTCCAATTGCTAGAAACCCACCGTTCTGATTTCTGTCCATATACTTTTTTTGCTTTTCCATGATGTCATCTAAATGGATCCTGGATTAGCATGCAGCCTTCTGAACCCAGCCCCTTCACTAGACAGATGCTTCTGTCAAACATCCACCTCCCGGGCGTTGCCTCTATCCATGGTCAATTACTTTTTATTGACTATTTTTTAGACTATCGATGTACCACTATTGGTTTATCCTTCAGTCAATATTTTTAATCATGTACTGTGGAAACATCACTGAAGCTTTATAAATCAGATCACAGTTTGTTTAAGTGAGTTATTTTACATTCTCACAGAAGGGAGTATAGATTCAGAAAAGGTCCTTCTGCGTAAGTATTGCTAAGGGCTATTTAATGAGTAAACACAAAGATCTCTTGTAAATTAGAAGTGGAAGTTGAAGGCTGAGCTCTTCCCAGATTGAGGGAGAGATGGGAAGTGTCCTTGCAAGATAGGTGAGAGGGACAGCCTGCTCAGCCAGTGGTGGACAGTGTGATTAGAGCCAGCTCCTTGGCTGGCAGAAAGCAGTCAAAGTAAAGTGTTTTTATTACCTACAATGTGGATCACAGAGACAGGAATTTTAATATGTTCACTGGACCACAGAAAACTGTGGATCTTTAGTCTTTTTTTTGTAGGTAGCTTCCTATCTGGTATCGTATCCAGAAAGCAAGCTTAACAAATAAAGAGGTATCTGGGATATGAATTTTGCCAACTCAGCTCTAAAATAAAACTGCAATTTTATATTCTAAATTCATATACCAGGGGTGCCAAAAAATGTGTACACTCTTTAGGTAGTGTTATCTGTGTGTTACTTTTCATTTGTTGTAATCAGAAGTGTCTGGATGTTGATGGTGACCACTTTGAGCACCTCTTGTGACTGCAGAAGTCAAATGCGACTTGTGTTCATCTTTTGTAATTGGTATGTATCCAGTATTACGATTTTAATACAGTGTTTTCCTTCCTTAAAATTTTAATGTGTATCCATTCCACTCTGTATATTCTTTTCTTTTTAAATAGGATGCCATTCTAATAAGAATCTAATCTTTAGTTCCCTCTAACATATCTATATCCCATGAAGGACAAGAAAATATTTTTCATGAGTCACTATGTAGAAGTTAATACCAGTCCCAGGATTCAAATTGAAACCAATCTAGTTATTTTTCCCACCCTACCAAAGCTGTTTCTACACATTTTCTATATAAAGTTGAACTAATTAATGTAGCAGTTGATGTGACACTGTATCCTTTTCCAGTTTCTCATCTATAACATTACTATGCCTGAATTACTCAGTAGACTTGAAAACTGCATTGGTATCATCCATCTTTGGATCCCTAACATGTATGTAACATGGTGTCTTCATAAAGAGTCACGACTAATGGCTGGGAGCGGTGGCTCATGCCTGCAATCCCAACACTTTGGGAGGACAAGATTAGGGGAGGATCACTTTAAGGACAGGAATACAAGAACAGCCTTGGCAACACAGAGACCTCATTTCTACAAATAAAATAAAATAAAATTAGTCAGGCATGGTGGCACATACTTGTAGTCCTAGCTAACTGAGAGACTGAGGCTACAGAATCGCTGGGAGTTTCAAGTTACTTTAGCATGCTACGCATACAGTAAAGGGCTCTAGCCTGGGTGACAGAGCAAGACCCT